GAGTAATGGGTCAAGTTTTATTCTCCTTACCAGTGGTTCTAGACATAGGATGAAAATCAAGGCTGAGAGTGGACACCCTTGCCTTGTGCCATTCGTTATTTGGAAGCTTCTGGAGGTAAAGCCAGAGTTGAAAACTTTGGCTGAGGGGAATGTGTAAAGAGCCATTATACTTGTTAGGGAGGATTTGGAAAAACCAAAGGCTTTTAGGGTAGCTTCCATATAGGCCCAGTTCAGGCGGTCAAACGCCTTTTCCGCATCTAGCGCCATTAGTACTCCGCTCTGTCCTTGGCCGTTAGCCCAGGCCAGTAAGTCCATACAGTATCTAGTATTGTCTCCCACTTGTTTCCCGGGTAAGAACCCTGCCTGTTCTTCCGATACTAATTTGGTCAGGAGAGGCTTTAGCCAGTTGGCAATTAGTTTTGCATACAATTTCACATCTGCATTGAGCAGGGAAATTGGTCTTAGGTTACTACATATTGTTGGCGGTTTGTTTGGTTTGGGCAATGTAATGATGAATGCTTCCAACATTTCCCGTGGCAATTTGCCGGATTGCTTTATTGCATTAAACAATTTTGTAAGGTGTGGGGTCAATTGAGGTTCCATTTTTATGTAGTAGTAATTCGAGAGACCGTCAGGACCAGGGGCTTTGTGTTTGGGAAGGGCTCAAATATCGGCTCCCGATATTTCAGGAGTACATGTATCTTTATTTTTATGAAGATTGTAGAGGTCTTCATAATATAGGGACAGTTCGTCTACTATCTTATGAGGATTGTAAATTCTGGAATTTGTTTTGGATGTGATGAATGGGATTTTCGACTGCAAGTATTTAGATTTCAATTGGTTGGCTAGTAATTTGCCAGCTTTGTTGCCCGAGCAGTAGAATTTTTGATTGGTTTTAAGTACATTCTTTGTGTACACCTGGGTACGGATCTTTTGGATATCCACCTGAACTTTGGCTATTTGTTTTGATAAAGTTTTGGAGGGGGATTGTTTGTTAGATTGTTCTAATGTTGTTAGCGCTTGATGTAATGTGGCTTCTGTGTCTTGGAATAGTTTTTTGATAGTGGAACCGATTTTTATGAATTCACCTCTAAGGACTGATTTTTGGGCTAACCATTGTATATCTAATGTCGTGTCATTGGTGGAGTTGTTAGAGAAGTAATTATTAATTTCTGAAGCTATTTTTTGTCGGTTAGTGGGACAATCTAGGATGGATTCATTCAATCTCCATTTGCCTCTGCCTTTTGTTGGATATGGTACCGCCAATGTAATCACTATTGGTGCATGGTCAGACCATGATCTCTGGCCTATTGTTTGATTCTGCTGTTGAGGTATGGTTGATTTGTCTATCAGACAAAGATCAATTTGTGTGTATGTCCACCGGTGAGAAGTATGTGTAGTCTCTCGCTGTTGGAAACAAATTTCTCCAGGTGTCATAGAGATCTTGTGTGTGTATAAGGTGCGAAAAGAGTTTGCTATTTTGGGTGGAAGTTCTGCTGGGCGTTTTTTTTTTTCATGCGTTGGATATCAAGTGAAGGGTCAAGGGTACAATTGCAATCACCACATATTATAACGTGGCCTTTTTTCACATGTGAAATCTTTTTGATAGCTTTATTGAGGAAGGAGAATTGTGCCTTGTTGGGGGCGTAAAGTGAAGCAACGTTTACTAATATGCCATTTAATTCTCCAACCAGGATTAGTAACCTACCGTCACAGTCTGTGAACTGTTTGTTCAGTGTAAAAACCCAATCAGAATGGAAAAGTATTGCTACTCCTTTAGATTTGTTAGGAGCATGATAAGCTGTAGGGTATTTCGTTGAACGTAATTGGGGTGTTTTTTTTTTTGCTTAAATGGGTTTCCTGAATACACACTATGGCCGCCTCGACTGCGTGCATGTCTTTTAGCATTTGTCTTCTCTTGTAGGGGCTATTAAGGCCTTTGGCATTTAGAGAGAGGACTTTCATTGTGTGAGATGACATAAGTAGTGATTAGTATTTGGGGCTAGGAACTAAATGTCTGGGCTTAAACATGTGATGAAAAAGTATGCTTACCCCTAGTAGAGAAGTACAGACCTGATTGATCTTTACAGAGATATATACGCTATGAGATTGTAGTTCCGTACAGCGTTCCTGGGTAAATTAGGTGATCCACGGCCACTTATGTTTCATATCATGGGTACAGATTCCTGTGGGGAAGAGGGGGGGGAGAAATAGAAAAGGAAGAAAGGACATAACGGAAACAAAAGTATGTACATATAACTCCCTGAAATGGGGGAAACATAACAGTCATCTATAGGGCACAAGAGGTTTGCTCCCCAAAGATGACCTAAGAGGGAGGCTTTAGAACTCCTCCCGACCTGATAAAGTAATCATTAATGACTTCAACTTGAATGTATAAAAAGAGCCATTACTCAAAACGGAATTAAAACATATAACAAATCTTTGCGAGGGTACATAATATTTATGTTTAAACCTTGTCTGTATTGTTACCAACCTGTTCCAAACTAGGGTGGTTTATATTCTTGTCTTATGGGCACTGAGATTAAGGACCCCAGGGCCACTCTTGCAGTGATGTTCAGTACGAGTGCCACCATATACTGTGGCAAGGTAGTACAGTTAGTACCTGCGCATCTCGATTGCTTATAGTTAACTGTAGGATTACATATTTGACAGCCTTTGGGGCTTAACACCTTTCTTGCATTATGATATATCCGATATTATCGGGTACAAATGTTTATATACCATGGCATTACATGGTTGTCTAGCTATACTGGATAAGTTTAGTTTGCTTAAGGCCTTATCGGACTCACTGGTCTTATAGGGATCCCTTTGTGAGTCTTCAAGATGCTGGTGATTTATGCCCTGTAGTTGTGGTCACATTGCAATAGGGCCTTGTTTTAGGAATTAACCAACACCCATCTATGCTGTTCACATAGTTTGACAGTTTCTGTGTCTAATTCTTAGCATTAATCACAAATGAGTTCAGAAAACTCAAGGACAATTCTATTTTTTTAGCCGGGTTTATGTCTATAGTGCAATAAAAACAATAAAAGGCTGCGCACATAAAATAAAGTCCAATGTAAGTAAAATAAGGAAAGTCCAATTAGTTAGTTCTTACTGGTGTCCTTGATTGATGAGGTCTTCTATTTATTATGGTGATTTCACTTAATAGAAGATAAAAAGAGAAAAAAAAGGACAACCAATGGTGTAGTATGTAAAATTCGAATCTAGAAGTAAGAGTAATGATATAAAACTCACATTTGCCAGAGCTAATGTCCAGCTCTGGAGTGAAGCACGTACAGCGGTTTAATCCCCGCTTATGGGATATAAGGCAGGTTCCTTTCCGTGAGTGGTATCCAATTCTCGGAATAAAACAAAACAGTCAATAGTGCTCACTGTTTGGCAGATAATAGTAAAAAATAAAAGAAATGTACTTACAAAGTAAGAGCAGACGTACTGCTCTTTGATGGTAGCTTAGGTGGATTGATCCCCACCTTACGGATTTCTTTGGGTACAGGAAACTTCCAGGAATTTTTTAAGGTTTCTTTTAAAACCAGTTAAAAAATTAAAATAACAATAAAAGGGCCAGGGTAAAAGAAAAAAGTATGTGTCTATAAAAAAGATAATTGGCACAAATGAATGACCAATAATACTTTAATATATATATAAAAAACACAATATTCAAATATCCATAACGCGTTTCGTCACAAAAGGACTTTTTCAAATGGAATAACCGCGTTATGGATATTTGAATATTGTGTTTTTTATATATATATTAAAGTATTATTGGTCATTCATTTGTGCCAATTATCTTTTTTATAGACACATACTTTTTTCTTTTACCCTGGCCCTTTTATTGTTATTTTAATTTTTTAACTGGTTTTAAAAGAAACCTTAAAAAATTCCTGGAAGTTTCCTGTACCCAAAGAAATCCGTAAGGTGGGGATCAATCCACCTAAGCTACCATCAAAGAGCAGTACATCTGCTCTTACTTTGTAAGTACATTTCTTTTATTTTTTACTATTATCTGCCAAACAGTGAGCACTATTGGCTGTTTTGTTTTATTCCGAGAATTGGATACCACTCACGGAAAGGAACCTGCCTTATATCCCATAAGCGGGGATTAAACCGCTCTACGTGCTTCACTCCAGAGCTGGACATTAGCTCTGGCAAATGTGAGTTTTATATCATTACTCTTACTTCTAGATTCGAATTTTACATACTACACCATTGGTTGTCCTTTTTTTTCTCTTTTTATCTTCTATTAAGTGAAATCACCATAATAAATAGAAGACCTCATCAATCAAGGACACCAGTAAGAACTAATTAATTGGACTTTCCTTATTTTACTTACATTGGACTTTATTTTATGTGCGCAGCCTTTTATTGTTTTTATTGTACTTTGTTTTAAAGGGTTTGAGGGACTCCCTTTTTAAGGTTGCTGCCTATAGTTATTTAGCGCTGTCTCATTCCTCTTTTTTTACTATTATGTCTATAGTGCGCTGTATAGACCATAGGATTGAAAGATAAAGCATCATTAAAGCTATGCTGTGCATTATGTAACTGCGCTAAGATACCAAGTGTGTTCCTTGTTTTCCTAATGAACAGTATCATCAGCGCTCCGTCCCTTTGAGCTGCTGGTCTATGGCTTACGAAGTGACTGCTTAGGGATCCAGTGGTTAATATATTTTGTACCTAATAGCGAGGTGGTGTGACAATCATATGCATGCAGATAATATTAAACATAAGTTCTTGATCGCAAGACCTATATGCCGAAAACAGGAGCAGTACGATACTGTACAAATGTGAGGCAAAAAAGAAGATATTTATACATACAAAACTAAGGCAGTGGCCATTTCAGCTGGAGAGCATATCGAAGGACGCAGCAAAGTTCATGACCTCGTGGCCGATGATCTTGCCGTTTGCCAGTCCGCTTGTAATCTTCTTGGAGAGTGGTCATCCGACTTTCCTTGGAGGCTGGTATTGGTGTTCCATAGACCCTAATCTGTAAGTAGTTTCATTCCTTCGGTAGGGTCGGTGATCACTTGGGTTTTCCCTTGACGCCATGTAATCAATTTGGTGGGGTAACCCCATCTATAGGCCACATTATTATTTCGAAGTGTCTTTGTAATTGTGACAAATTCTTTGCGTTTCACAATCGTGGTTGCTGACAGATCCGCGAACAGGGTGATCCATTGGTGAGGGTCCGGAAGCGTGGGTATCTTTCTCGCTGCTGCCAGTAATGATTCTTTGTGGGCAAAATAGTGGAATCTAACGATGAGATCTTTAGGTACCTCGCTAGAAAGACGGGCTGGACACGGGAACCTGTGCATGCGATCGAAGGCCCACGCGGAATCTGGTAGGCCCGGAACTAGTGATTTGCAGGTGTAGAGTATGTAGGCTGGAAGGGCGTCGTGAGAGACATCATCGGGCATTCCCCTGAAACGTACATTTTGTATTCTCGATCTGTCCTCCATGTCAGCTACTTTTAGTTTTAGTGTTTCATTTTCTTCTGATAGTTTTTGTATTTTGTCTACTACTTCGTTATTGGCAACGCATAATTCTTCTGTCCTGTTTTCCAGGTGACTGGTTCTGTCGCCAAGGCTAGATATTTCCCTTCTCAGGTCTCCATCAATACGGTGGAAGTCTGCAGTGATTGTTGTACGGAGTTCTTGTAGCATCTTATGTAGGCTATGTTCTGTAACTGGTGAGTCAGAGTATTTGAAAGATCCCGACTCATAGTCAGATTGGCCGTCCGACATGTTGGATCTTTCGTCGCCATCTTGGTTTTCTTTGCGGTGCTCGTTTTTCTTCATTTTAGCCATTTCACACAGTTTTAATTGTTTGGTCGGTGGCATGGTGCTTCCGGTCACTTCTGGTGTCTTGATGGGTGTAAAATCAATAGTTTATATTGCTATTAGTCGCTTGCAGGTCGGGTTTTCGGCGGAGCTCTTATGCCATGCGTCCTCTCTCACCGGAAACCGGGCACGCCCCCCCTAAAACAAATTCTAAACCTAATCCTAAACCTAATTTTAATCCTTAATCTAATCCTAATCCCAAAAGTTTCCTTCTGCTAATATGAATATTGACCTACTGGCTGTTCAGTATGTCAGGCAATACATTGTGATTGGTGCAGAGCAACTGGCAAACCCAGTTCCAATAAAAAAACATTTTAGGGCATGGAAGGAGCCCCTCGATGGTTTGTTCAGACCCTGGGGGTCTTGAAAGCACCAGCTGCACATATCACCATGGCTGAGTTCATTTGCTCAGCTGCAGTGTTCTCTACATTCTAGTTCTAGATTTAATGTGCTTTATGCAGAGATGGCTTTCAGTACTTCAATCAGTCTGGGGCCACTAATTGTCACCCCACTGACTCAGGGGTGCCCCAGGTGTTGATTGATATGTGGGTCTCTTGATGTGAGCATTGATTTAAGATGACCGCCTTAGACTTTGCAACTCACTTCACTGACAAGATCTCTCATCTTTCTTCTTCCCCTTACAATACTTCCCCTAACTTCACTCCCTCTGCTGTTCTATGTTCATTCGCACCCGCTACATTGGAAGAGGTTTCTGCTCTGCTCCAGTCCTCGCACCCCACCACCTGCTCCATAGATCCAATTCCCTCGCATCTCATCCGTACTTTGTCTTCTTCTCTTTATCCACCTCTCACTAAAATTCTCAATCTCCCTCTCCTCTGGTATATTTCCATTGCCCTTCAAACATGCAACTGTAACCCCAATTCTAAAGAAGCCCAATCTTGACCCTAACTCCCCATCCAACTATCGTCCTATCTCGCTACTGCCTCGAGTCCAACTCTCTGCTAGACCCGTTTCAGTCTGGTTTCCACGCTAAGCACTCTGTGGAAACGGCATTGACCAAAGTATCCAATGATCTACTCGCTGCAAAAACTCGTGGTCACTACTCTATCCTAACTCTCCTTGACCTGTCTGCGGCTTTTGACACTGTTGATCATCAACAGCTTTTTCTCATCCTCCGCAATATCGGTCTACAAGATATTGCTCTCTCCTGGTGCTCCTCCTACCTCTCCCAGCGCTCTTTCAGTGTTTCTTTCTCTGGCTCTGCTTCTTCTCCCCAACTCCTCTCTGTTGGTGTCCCCCAAGGTTCAGTCCTTGGTCCCCTACTGTTCTCCATCTATACTGCCTCCCTTGGTAAACTCATTAGCTCCTTTGGCTTCCAATATCATTTCTATGCAGATGACATGCAAATCTACCTGTCCTCTCCTGATCTCTCCCCGTCCCTCTTGACTAGTGTCTCTGACTGCCTCTCTGCTGTTTCTAACTGGATGGCTGCCCACTTCCTTAAACTAAACTTGACCAAAACTGAAATTCTGGTCTTTCCTCCCTCAAGTGTTGTTACTCCTGTGTCTGTCTCCCTCCAAGTCAACAGTGCTACCATCAGCTCCACCATGCAGGCTCGCTGCCTAGGTGTTCTCTTTGACTCCGACCTCTCCTTCAAGCCTCATGTTCAATTTATCGCCAAATCCTGTCCTTTCCATCTCAAAAACATTGCGTGCATCCGCCCCTACTTAACGCCAGATGCGACTAAGGTGTTGGTCCATTCCACTGTCTTACGTGCTCCCAACATGCGCCGTTACAGTCCATAATGAATGCGGCGGCGAGGCTCATCTTCCTGTCTGCTTGCACCTCCCATGCCTCACCCTTCTGTCAGTCCCTACATTGGCTTCCTATAAAATATAGAGCTCAATTTAAAATTCTGGTTCTTGCTTTCAAATCTCTACATAATGCTGCTCCCACCTATCTATCCTCCCTTATACACAAGTATGTCCCGTCTAGGCCCTTACGATCTGCTGAAGACTTACGTCTATCTTCTGTCCGTACTCCCACCTCTGATGCTCGCCTTCAAGATTTCTCGAGGGCTGCACTGTTCCTGTGGAACTCGCTTCCCTCCTCCGTTAGATGCTCACCCAGTCTCCACTCCTTCAAAAAATCGTTAAAAACCCACTTCTTCATAAAAGCGTATCAATTAAACTGTTAATAGCTCCTGACTGATTCCTCTTCTGCAACTGTCACTAGTCTAATACTATCCTTACCTTTTTGTGTTATTTTACCCCTCTCCCTCTAGCATGTAAACTTATTGAGCAGGGCCCTCAACCCCTCTGTTCCTGTGTGTCCAACTTGTCTGGTTACAACTATATGTCTGTTCGTCCACCCATTGTAAAGCGCTGCGGAATTTGACGGCGCTCTATAAATATCATAATAATAATAATGGTTCCTTGTACCTGCTTGTAAAATACTGCATGGCGGAAATATTCCGTCATATATTCCGCTGGGCTGATTGTCACCCCACTGACAGGGGTGTCCCAGGTATTGATTGATATCTATGTCTCTTGGTGTGAGCATTGATATAACCCTGCTTACACTACATTGCTGGCAATGGGGATTTAAATACCTACTTAAAGTGCTGCATGCCGTGCTGACTTCAGTGCTGCATGTAGCTCAGTCTGGGACTGCAAAAGATTTCTTCAGCTGACAGAAGGGAACCCCAGGTATCAATTTAAATGCCTTTATGCAGCGATCAATTTGAGTGCTGCAAACAGAGCGTCAGTCAGTCTTGAGACGATAATTCTGACCCCAGCTGACAGATGGTTCCTTGTACCTGCTGGTAATGTACTGCATGACGGAAATATACTGTCATGGCTCTTTAAGGGACAGACAATCATTAGGGAATAATTCCGTTAAGCATTGTTAAAGGACCACTATAGTGCCAGGAAAACAAACTTGGCACTACGTAGTCCTTAGGTCCCCCCACTCTCATGGCCCCCCTCCCGCTGGGCTGAAGGTATTAAAACGCCTTCAGCCACTTACCTTTCTCCACCGCTGGGCTCCGTCGGCGCTGGTGAACTCTTCTCCTCCTGCCGACGTCAGCGCCGAATATGCATGCGCTGACTGTGCGCCGAATGTGCAAGAGCCGCACGCGCATTCAAACCGTCCATAGGAAAGCATTACTCAATGCTTTCCCATGGACGTCAGCATCTTCTCACTGTGATTTTCACAGTGAGAATCGCGAAAGCAGCCTCTAGTGGCTGTCAGTGAGACAGCCACTAGAGGCAGGGCTAATCCTCAGTGTAAACATAGCAGTTTCTCTGAGACTGTTATGTTTTCAGCTGCAGGGTTAAAACTGGAGGGACATGGCACCCAGACCACTTCATTGAGCTGAAGTGGTCTGGGTGCCTATAGTGGTCATTTAAGGGTTTAAAATACTCCCAAGTCTCCCTATGCCTTGTGAAACACTCCAGGCACCATAATTCCTCCAATGTATTTGATGTTCGCTGGGCACCAGTGTACTCATCCATAAGCATTGAGCTACCCCTGGCAATGCAGGGCTTAGTTCATTCATTGAGACACACTAAGCAAATGAGCTGGTCCTGCATTGGTTGGTAGCATGTTCCAACATGACCTGACTAACAGAAGCTAACTCTCAGTAGTGAAAGAGACACCAGGTAGGTTTTGATACCCTTAGCAAACAGCTTGTCTTCTTACATTGGGGAGGCACTAGGGAGTTGTAGTAGTTATGGCAATGCTGCATTAACCCTGAAATTACAGCATTCACCCCAAGCTTGAAGCATGAAACATGCATCCACTGCATTATATCTCTACACACTGAGCTGTATAATTAAAGGATTACTTCAAGCACCACGACCATTTCATGAAGTTTTGAAGTGGTCATGGTGCTTGGAGTCTGTCTGTGAAGCGTTTCTATATGAAACTCTACTCCACCTCAGGCAGCGTCATTAAGGTAAATGAACAAAAATATGCCCCCGTGGGGAAGTATACAGAGAAGGGTGGTGGAACACAAAAAAAATTCAGAGCATACAACCTGAAAATCAGGATGGAATGATATAGGGATCTGAGAATAAAAAAAAAAATTAAAATAAAAAAAATCACATACAGTGAAGTATGCAGAACTAGAGAACTAACTCCAGGAGGTAGAGAACTTACAAGAAGATAGAAGATCTGCGCATATCTCCCCTCAGGGCCCAGGGTATCTGTGAATGATGGAAATCCTCCCAGCTAGATGAACCCTCGAGAGAACAAAAAAGTGCAAATACCTCCCAGTTCCAGACTACCACATAAACTTAAACACAAGAATATGCTATGTGATTGCGAAGGTTCGCTACTGCTATTGTATACCCTAAACAACTGTTTGCTTTTACTCCCCTCATTCTCTTCTGTAACCCCCACCTTTACTGGGGGGGGGGGAGGAGGATAAATAAAGATTGTCAAAAAAAAAAAGTGCAAATAGTATAATACTGTATAAAAATAGAACAATTTATTTACAGGTGGCACTTACTGAAAACAGCAAGCTTCTCTCCACTGGCAAGTGGATTGAATGGAGAATCCTCCAGTTTTGGGAGGTGTGGTAGTGTACCAAAAATACAAATAAAATACAAATTGAAATAAAATAAAATTGGACGTAAAAATATAAATATATAGAAGTCCAACAGGTTGTATCCTCTGTATTTTATTTTGTGTTCCACCACCCTTCTCTCTATACTTCCCCACAGGGGCGTATTTTTTGTTCATTTATCACATTTGCAAGTGTTTGTGAGGTACACGTTTGTAAGGTGGTTATACGGTTCTTTCTTTTTTTGTGTTTATATATAGTACATACCTTGTTGATTAGCGTCATTAAGGTGTCATTTGTCAGCAGGGAAAAAGGTCCCGGGTTGGCTAATTTTAATTCTGTGCATATTTCTGTACATAGAGGGAAACTCATTGGCTAAGAGAGCTCAGGTGATACTCTCATCCAATGAATGAGCAGCAGGATTGGCATCTGGCTTCTGCAGTTCTGCAGGATCCTCATGCGCGTCAAATAA